TTGTCTATGTATTGATTTGTTTCAGGGATCAATAGTGATAAATCGATACTCACATCAATGGGAGTTTTTCGGCTGTGAACCAATGGTTCTTCTAGCTTTAATTTTCGCATCCTCTGTCTCAATTGAAAACGTTGGCAATGGTATCAATTTTTTGAACACGAACAGATTAGTAGTATTCGGTTCACACTTTCCATTACGCTTCTAACCGCCGGAGTATTGCTCCATGACTGCGAAGCCAATAAATTCCCATCGATGAAGTTCCTCAGTCGATTTCATCCAATGAAACGCGAACGAAGTGCTTTTTCCCTTTAGAATCCGGATGATGCGCAAATCTTCACCCGTCAAAAAGGCCTAAAACATTGCTGCGGATTTTGCTACTACGTACTGCAATGCTACTGCGTCAGCCATCAACAGCAGAAGCAGCATTACCGTGGAGCTTATCCACGACGAGCCCCTCAGCAGCTGAGATGATGGTTAGCTACTAATGAATCTTTTCTTTCAGCTCACTCCTCATCCGATGAGATGGCAAATAAGCAGTGGCAGCAGCAGCATCAGCAGCGCCAAGACATACCTACTAATTATTTCTTTTCTCGCTACAGTGAGTCTACCGTCGTCTCCGTGGACGAAGAGGCGTGTAAGGATAGGTGGGTGGAAATGAGCATCATGCAAACAATAGGCTCTGCAAACGACTTGGTCGTTCATCACTCCAGGATGGTAGCTTCTTCCGGTAGCCGTCGCCGCTGTGCGTTGTGCGGTGGAGGTTCAAACTATATGCTAATGTTAAGATATGCATGAAAGTTGCTGTTTGCCCTCCTTTTTCCTTTATTTTTGGATTGGTAGAAAAGGGAGTTCCTTGCGAGAGTACTAATCATCTCGCTCGTCATTATAATCATTTGTTCGTTGATTCGAAGAATCTGCTGATGCGGATGCAGAAAGGATCCGTCGAGCTGCTCGTTTTCCGAAGCTGACTTGGTATTCAAGCTCCTTTTCCGAGCTGCGGGGGATCATGATGGAAAAGAAAGCAAATGAGCACTGGGGAAAAACACTGCAATCATCATTAGGTGTTTGTTTAGGGCAAGTGATGTGTTTGCACGAACGGAGGCTTCATTATGAAAATAGATGATTGCTTCGAAAGTGTGAACGTTGGTAGGTTGAAATTTCTGCGTGATTTAAAGTAGATTTTACCAAAACCAACCGTAACCGATACAAATGTCAGCCGACTTGACACGCAAAAACGAGTAACATCCTCAGCTGCCATTGACGTAATCCAATTGAATCGAACCCCGTTGTGATGTCACTTCCGCTCACCACGAAATCGATTGGCAAGGAACAGCAGCGAAACGAACAAAAAATGCAATCTTAATTGCCGCTTCGGGCGTAGCTAATTATAATCTGTTGATTCAAATGTTGCCAACAAGAACCGCTTTCAGAGAACACATAAATTTTCCATTTCTTTGCGCTTGCCATTCACCCTAATCTCAAGTACCTTACCAGAACCGATGCGAACGCAGTGCAACAATGTAACTTTTTAATAGAACCAGTTTCCCAACCCTTGGGCTAGAAAGCTGACGACGCATCTCAGATGGTTGGATTCTGATGAAACCAGCCACCCTATACGGTCACGATTTGTGTGTTTTTTTTTCGCTTAACGAGGAAATTACTTCCAGCGAACGAGCATAGGAAAACAAATAAAAGGATCACATCCGTTGACGTCACACGCAAATGCTGCCGGGGTTTTAGATTCAATCTACCGAATGGCTTTTTTATGGATTCATAATGAACTGTATCGAATTTCGATTCGAAGAGAATGGAAGGATTCTTTGTTCCCCGCGGGTTATACTGCCAGCATGGTGACATTAAGCATCAACAATTACGACATTTTTTATTTTATCGATGATGGCATTTAAGAAAATTTAAGTATTTCCGAAGTTCTTTTCTGATGCCGGCTGGAGTTTTCAATTCAAACACACCAATGGCAAGATGTTCCAAGCTGATAATTTTCAGCTCAATTGTAGAAAATTGCCAATTATTTGATGAAAAAATCTACGAGATTGAAAACTTTGTAGATATGTAGTAAATAAATAAAACAAATCAAATTGGGTAAATGATGCCCTCGTCACCAATTGACTGTTTACGGCAACTAGCGTTGGCAGTTCATTTTCAAGAAAATCTGTTGTGAACTTAAGTGCTGATTAGACAAAATTGAATCGCAAATTGAGCTTCATTGGATTCTGAGATGATTTTGAACTTCACTGGTTTAGTTTTGGGTGAAAATGGCAAATCAAAAAAAAAAAATCAGTTCAGAAATGAAAAAGATTTTGTAAGAAAAACTTTTTTTCATTAGAAGTGCCCATCTTGCGATGTATGGACGGATGGTAGTAAACATTATTACCTATCTTGTGGAATAGTTTTATTCAAATCAAACATGGCCATTTTTTTTTAATCGACTTAAATTTTTAAAAATCGATTTTTTTTCAGTGTAGGTCTCAAATGAAATTTTTTTTAGTATTTTTTTTTTCGATAATTTGGTCAATTTCCTAAAAGTCATCCATACAACATATTTTTGTTGGAGTTGTCATTTTTCCATAATATTATTTTGAAAGAAATAGGCCGAAAAAGTTTGGCCCTTCTCAAATGTTAGTCTAGATAAATTTTGGAAAAACTGAGTGTGCAAAAGTGCTTATTTAGTCAAAGTTTACACATCCAGAAAATTTCTGAGAGGGTGCTGCCAGCTTTGATTAGATTTGGCGCGAAATGCGTCTATTGGAGCTTATCAAATTTTGATGGTAGATGAAATATCAAAAACTATTAAAATGCTTCAAATTTATTTTGTAAATGAATTAGTTTCGATTGTGAATTGAGTTGAAAGTAAAATTATGCTCGAAAAATCTGTTTTATAATTCTAAACGTTATTGCCGTTTTACATCATACTTTTGTCATGATCATTTCAATCTTCAATGGTTTAAATATCATGTTCTCACAAAACATGCAACTATGAACCTGATATTTCACTTTTGCATGGACGATGCTGCAAAAGTGTACAATGGAGACATTCACACCGAGCTAGATTAAGTGTGTTGATGGTCTTTAGTAAATTAAGTAGCAGTTTTGGCTTTTCAATTTTTTAAAAATAAACGTGTTAATTTTAAAGCAACATATTTTAAAAATCTGGGAAAATCTGGAACATATTTAAAAAATCTGGAAATAAACGTGATTTGTCTGTGTATCTGGCAAGACGACTGAAAATCTGGAAAATACAGACAAATCTGGAATTCTGGCAACGCTGACGACAACCAACATTTAAACACCGAAACACTTCACTGAATGTGCTCAAACGATTCCTTAGTCTTTCAGCTTCGATCTGATAACATTTTTACGACTGAGCAAACCTGTTATGCTGGGTTTTTCTTCAACTCACTACAAAATACGGCTGATTTCAAGTTACCGAAAATAGAGCAGCTGGTTAACACGCAGTTCAAATGGAAAGTTTACCTAAGAAAAAGAGCCTGCCGACAATAGTCACACTAATCTGAGAAGTTTGGAGCGGCGACAAAATGTTTTCCGTTCTGGACAATTATGTCGATTGAAATGGATAGAATTGCAAGTACATCATTAATGCAAACAAAAAAACACATCATACGTGTGCGTGATGCTGAGAAATCGCTGAAAAAGGAAGGGACGCTGCGTAGATTGACGAGAATCCGTAAATATCCTCCTTTTTTTTAATATATAAACAAAATCTGGAAAGACCACTTCATTATCTACAAGTCGGCCATATACGGGCAAGGGAGCTTGAAATTCTCCTCCAAAATTTTCTAGAAATGTTACTCGGAATGCTCTTGGAAATATCCTTGGTATTCCATTGTGTCTCTGAAATCTCTGGAAAGTCTTTGGAATTCATTGGTATTTTTCTAGGAATTCTGTTGGAAGTCTCTTGAGAAATCACTAAGGATTATCTTTGAAGTTTCCGTAGAATTTTCCCTTGGAATATTTTGAAACTATTTTGAGAATTTAATACCCTTTGAGTTCTTCTCGTAATTTCCCTGTTAATTTGAATGGGTAAAAATTCAATTGAACGGTGCACATGTAGAATTTTTTTTAACTTTTAGGGGCCTTAGGGGTAAAAAACACCCTCGGAGCAAAATTGCTTTTTTCAGTGTCTTAACTAGCAATTGTACTACATAAATCCACGAAAATGTTTTGGAAATGGAGTGTACTTCTGCACATGGGATCTCAAATCAATGAAGACGGGCAGTCAGGGATGGAAAATCATTTACATTCATTTTGTGCCTTCATTTACATTCATTTGCCATTAACTTTTTTCATCATCAGAACTCCGTGAAATATTATTTGAAGCTTTTAAAGGCTTTGATATTAGCTTAAGGGGTTTCTGATTCTGGTTGGTCCGTTTACGTTGCGTTAGGTCTGGTGTATAAAGGGTTTGTGTTCGTTCGGGTCGTGGTGATATTTTCGTTCCTTAGCTTTCCTTGTTCGTTACGGTTGGTCATGATAGGGATTTTAAGTGTTATATATGGTTGAAGAGTCCGGCTTCACGTAAAAAGGCGAGTAGGGCCGCTATTCTTGTTGGCTCATTACCTAGAGCATCGCGGATATTCTCAGGAATGTCGTAGCATATTCTAGCTCCTTCATACTTTGGACAATGACAAATGAAGTGTTCCACAGTTTGCGGCGTGAGGCATAGATCGCATATCCTTCTAAAAGGCCCATCTCCCTTGTAGTTGTGGGAGATCACATTTCGGAGACGGGATATCACGACCTGCTCTCGGTGCAGTGATGGATCGTCCCATCTAGTAATATTCTCTTTTAATTTTCTAATAGCTGGTGTTCTAGCTGCTATCCAGACGCGGCTCCAGGAATCCTCGATAATTTTGGTTACCCATTTTTTTAGATCTGGTCCTGGTACCTCTCGCGTATATTTGGCCATGTGCCGACCAGAGGCTGCTAGATGGTCCGCCTCTACATTCCCCCGAACACCACAGTGCCCTGGGATCCAAACGAATGTTGTGTTATTTGGTGCATGTTCCTGGATCGCCTGGATCCAGGGGTGTCTACTCGTTTCGGACTCAAGGGCAGCAACCACACTGGCGGAGTCGGTGAAGATGGCTATCGGTCGTTCATCGGAGGTGGTGGCAGCGATGAAAGCCACGGTGGCTTCGGCGGAGAATATCGAACACTGGTCTGGCAGTCGATGACATTCGCTCAGATTGGGACCACAGATCCCGATCCCCACCTTCCCCTGAGCGACCGAGCCATCGGTGTATCTGATTGAGTATCCTTCGTATTTTCGTTTTTGAAGGTCTAGGACCGTTTGTGCCACTGCTAAAGGGTTGGAACCTGCTTTAAACTTATTTTTGATTGTAGGGTCGGTTCGAATTTTTGGCAGGCTCCAACCCCTGGCTCCACACCAGTGGACCCTGGACACCGGTGGGAGTACTTGGTTGGATGATTCTCTGAGGAGTTGGTTAGCCTCAACGAGGAGGAAACCTTCCTTCCTGCTACCGGACGTGTTTTCACGGTGGCTGATGGCTCGATGGCAGATTGTTTTGGTTATGTACCTGTTGAAGGGGAGCACTCCGCCCTCGATACAGGCAGCTATTCCAGGAGTACCTGGGAGGAGGCCCGATGATAATCGTAAGGCTTGCTGGTAGACGGGTGCAAGTTTTTCCACCAGCAGAGGCATTGCGAGGTAGGTTGCTTCAATCCCGTATGTTAGGCGTGAGTTTATGATAGCTTTTGCAACGTTCAGACGAGTCTGCCGGTTGGCATTTGGGTGGCGCCCAGCCAGAGTTTTCAGTAGGTTGATTCGCTGTTTACAACTGCTTTTAACCTCGTTGAAGTGCGGGCCGAATGTGAGGTGACGGTCGAAGCAGACTCCGAGGATTCGAATGGTTTTATGGAATGGGACCGGTTTCCCGTTGATGAGGATCTTGGTGCTCAAGACCTTGTGATTGGTCGAGCATACGTGTGTATACCCGCTTTTGCTTGCGGAGAGCTGAAATCCAGCTGACGAAGCCCAGGTTGATACGTAGGCGGTGGCTTGTATAAGTTTTCTTCGTAATGCTCTGACTGTTGCTCGGACCACCATGAGAACGATATCATCAGCATATACAAATATAAGGACTCCTTTCGGCAACCGCGAGAAGACACCGTTCATCCTTATGAGAAATAGTGTAACCGCAATCACCGATCCCTGGGGTACCCCGGTTTCCTCGTTGAAGGTCTTGGAGTAGCAATTTCCAAGGGTAACTTGGAAGGTACGGTGTGACAGAAAGTTTCGTATAAATTTCAGAATATGGCCCTTAAGTCCCCATTTCTTGAGCTGTTCTAACACCCCCGGCATCCAAGCACGGTTGTATGCCTTAGATATATCCAGGATGGCCAGTTCGACGTGGTGATTTTTGGCGAAAGCATCCTGAAGTGCTTCACTTAGGGTCCCAAAGTAGGTGTTGGTCCCATGTCCCGGTCTGAAGGCATGTTGTCGGCGATCGAGTAACCTTCCAGTTTCCAGAAAATCCATGAGCCTTCGGTTCACCATCCTCTCCATCAGTTTAGATGCGCAACAGGTCAGCGAGATTGGTCGAAATTTATCGACTCCGTGTCCTGAGGTGTTCGGTTTTGGGATCGGAATGGTGAGGCTGTGCCTCCATTTTTCCGGAAAAGAGTCCTGCAGCCATTCTTGATTGAGCAGTTCCAGGAATTTTACCTGCTCGTCCATGGGAAGGTTTCGAATAAGAGGGTATCCAACTTCGTCAGGTCCAGCGGACCCTCCTCTGGCCTTCGATAAGGCAAGAGAGAACTCGCGCATACTAAATGGCTGGTTGATTGCTGAGTCGTCTTCTTCTGGTATATGCATGTTAACAATTGAGTCAATGGACGGGTTGTTGATCTGGTGGAAATTCTCATCATAACCTTCAATTGATGATAGGGCGGCAAAGTGATTGCCTAATACGTCGACGATTTTATCTGGATCTCGTGTGGTTGTCCCTTCGTGTTCGATGATTATGCCCCGTGCCTTCCTCTTTCCGCTGAGGGCATTCACCTTACCCCACAGGTCGACGGTCGTTTGGCTAGGGTTTATTTCGTCGAGAAAGTCTTCCCAGCTGTTTTTTTTTGCTTCCCTGATGGTGTCTCTACATTCGTTTCTCTTTGCTCTGTAGTGCTTCAGAGCGGTCTCCTTATCTGGGTGGTCGGCAGGTAAGCGCTTGGCAGCCCGGAGGGCTTTCCTTCTGGCTTTTATAACGGCTTTGGTGGTGGGTGACCACCAATGGAGGGCTTTCCTACCTGGTGTAGGGCTAGATCTAGGGATGACTCCGGTAGCTGCTTCGTATATTGTTTCGGTGAGCTCAGCGATGCTAGTGGCGCTCGTTCTCCGGCAGGTTTCCTTGATGGCTTCCTTATATTTAGCCCAGTCAGCCTGATGGTAGAGCCATCGTGGTCTGCGAGATATCTCGGGAGGTCTTTCGTTTAGCTGGATCCCTATTGGGTGGTGATCGCTGCCCATTGGGTCATCACTGGCGAACCAAAGGATTCTATTGACAATACTGGCGCTGGCGAAGGATATATCAACGGTCGATTCCCTCCGACCACTGGTGTAGGTGGTGGATCCATCGTTTAGAAGGACAAGGTTCCTGGATTCAGCAAGGTCCATTATCTCAATTCCTCTTCGGTTCGACTGGTGCCTACCCCATGCTTGGTGATGACCGTTGACATCTCCGAGTAGAAGGGTAGGTTCCTCGAGGGTCTCGAGGAAGCTTTCAAGGCGGTTTCGGAGGTCAGCTATCTTTTGGCATGGCAGGTATACGGAGGCGATTGTTATAGCGATTGGGCAGCTGATTTTGACTGCGACGATCGGGAGGTCTACCGGTGTTGAGATTTTGGAGAAGGGGAGTGAGGTCCTGATTCCTATGGCAACTGAGTGGAAGATGTTATCACCTTTTTGCAGTACCCAGCGGTACTGTCCTGATAAGGATCGATTCATGCTTATTATGCTGGCATTGTGAACCTCCTGGATCGCCAGGATTGTTGGAGAATGGTCTCTGACTAGCGTCTCAAGGTCGCTGATGTTATTAAAGAAACCGTTCATATTCCACTGGATGGCGAGCAAATGTGCGGGAGTTGGGAGCCTAGAGGGTCCGATGGGCAAACCGTTCTGTTTAGGGTGTTGATGGTTAGTTCTGGGAGATATCTTGGTTTTGTATTGAAGGGCGGACCCCCGCAGAGCTCCACCGGAGGAAGCTGTCGGTAGGGACTCCGCCGCCGGCAGAGATGCTGGAGCTGCTGGGAAATGGGACGGCCCCAATGATGGGCCAGGGGATGATGGAGTGAGATGACCTAGACTGGCCCTCCACTGGTCATACCTTCTCGCGTCCGTTAGTGCATCCGGAGGGATGCGTTTTTTGTAAGCAAGCCGGAGGGATCTTCTCAAGGGAAGGATGTCGGTGTGGCGTTGTCCTGCGGAGTTTGCCAACGAGCACTTGGGGGAATCCGCCAGTTCCGGTTGACCCATAGCTTCCGTACCGGTGGGGCCCCGATTACCCGAGGCCTTATCCGTTACGAGCGTCCTAGCAGCGGGTTTTAAATTTGACGAGCTCTGTTTCCATTGATCCGGCGGGGGGAGTGTGATGGCATCGCTTGACCCCTGGAGCAGGTTCTTGCATCCCTCGGTGTCCTGGTGGGGGAGTGCGATGTCATCGCTTGGCCCAAATTTTCTTGGATGAATATTCTTGCCTCCCTCGGTGTCCGTAAGGGGGAAGATGAAGTTATCATGCGACCCTTCAAAGATGCTGGCGAACCCCGACAGAGTTCCAATGACAGAAGTAGCTAAGGTTGACCTCGCTGCCGACAGCGATGTCTGTACTGCCAGATTAGATTGGAGAAGAAGCCTATTTTTATCCGATCGGAGGGGTATGAGGTAATCGTTCGATCCTGCCTTGATTCCCGCGCTGTCCAAGTTTAATATAGTAGCCTTCGCTCCCCCGTTATCCATAGGGGAATAGGAGTTTCCTCCCTTGTCCGTCCCTCTTCCAGCCACAGCGGAGGGTAGAGGGGTGTCCACCAGTTCTGGTGAGGCAGAGACGTCCACACCGGTGGTGCCTCGCCTGCTCCGCTGCTCCACTGGGTAAGTGAGACGAGCCATGTTATGGGATCGGTCTGTGGAGGTTGCCAATAAGCGCCGGGAAGTGTCCACCGGTTCCGGTTGGCCGAAAACTTCCGCACCGGTGGGGCCCCGGCTGCCCAAGGCCTTATCCAAGTCACTGGTTTGTAGTTCAGGTTTGTTACGTGGTGTTCTGGTGTGTCGGTGTGGAGGTTGTCCGATGTCCTCATAATCTGTGGAATTTATTACGCTCTTATTGGCTGGTGATGGGGCCATGAGTGCGTTGAGTGAAAGTAATTTTCGTAGTTGGAATATCTGAGTAACGAGGACGGGACTTATATACCCATTGGGGAGTCCGGGAATACCACTTCCTCCTCGCCAGATGAGATAAGAAAGTCTGTGTCCATATTTTCTTCAAGGGTTGGGTTGGAATCTTTTGCTGAGAGTCGTGTTTCTTCTGGCGTCATGTCATCGTCGGAGTCACAGAATCTAGCCGGGGAACCTTCCTTGCACCGTTTGGCATCTTTTTCACATCTAGGCTGCTGGGAGACCTTTTTCTTAGTGCCGGTGTACGGCACCGGGGGAAGAGGTTCCTCCAGTAGTTCCTGGTTTTGGTCGGGTATCGTCGGTTGCTGGGTGGTCTTTTTTTGTTTTACGAGTTTGTCGTGGTGGGAGAGAAATTTCGTCTGTAGCCGTGTCTTTCATCTTGCGAAGCGACGCGAGCTCCTTGTCCTTTGTGTTTGAGGAGTGTTGCAAGACTTTCACCTTAGCCACGAGATCCTCGATAGTGCCGTACTTTCTTGTGAGCTCCATTCGGTTATCTTTTTGTTGTCCTTTTTCCAATATTTTGATGCGCTCGTCCTTCTGAAGAAGTTCCTTGCGGAGTTGTTTTACTTGTACAGCGGTATCGTTCTGCTTTTTCAGGGCTTCGAGCAGTTGGGAGATATGTTGATCCTTCTTCTGAACTTCTTTGCGAAGCTCGGCGATGTCCTTCCGGAATTCGTGGGCTTCGCTGCCGAGATCTGACGTTGGATGACCATATTTGATCGTGTTCTCCAGTTCCGCGATCTTCTTGTCTTTTTCCTGACTATTTCGGACCAGCATGTTGACCTTCTCTGATAAGTCTTCAATTACCTTATCCTTGCTCGCAGTTGTTACCGCGGCGAAGGAGCTCC